AAAAAAAAAGGACACAAACTAAGGTTTAAGCAACAGTTCCTTTTTTGTGAATGAAGATTTCAGTTGGCTTAAGACATCCCCTAAGAGTGTCATGACCCAACTGTGCCCTTTCATTATCTCCGAACCCCAAAACTCGCCCCTCGTTTGTGACTACAACAGTATGGTACAAACCGGTGCTAACCTGAGAAATGTGGTGGTTTTTCAAGCTGTCCAAGACTCGAGGCCGCACGATTTTGTCTGAAACTCCTCTGTCTGGAAATCCAAGACTCCCGAAGCCCATCCAGCCAAAACCGTAAACCGATCCATTGTCCACTAGGACAAAAGTCTTTCTCTTACTGGCACATACCTTGGAAAACAAGACATATGGGAAAAAGTATGATAAGTAAGAAAATATGCCGGAAAAGAATTAAAAAAAAAAAAGTAAAGCGAAAGTGAGATCTTCACTAAAGTGGTTGAAGAGATGTAAGAATCAGACGGCTATTGCACGAGGAAGCTGATTAAAGCAGCAATAAGTAAATGAAAGAATATGAAATATCATTTTTGCTTCATTTTACTTTTAGAAAAAAAAAAAAATTAAATCAGATTATGCTTGTGAACAGGCAATTTTCTTGAGAAGACGTGCTTGTATACAAATATATATGCTCAAAACGAATTTTTTGGTTAATTATGGTTAATTTTGAAAAAAGTTATATGGTTAATTGTTACTGTGATTTTGATTTTATATTAAAATAATATTTAAAATAAAATAGTAAAGTTGATTTGATGTAAAAGTAGGAGATAAATGATGCGAGTTGAAAAATAGTTAAAATTATGCGAGTGGATGAATAGTAAAATAAAAGTTGATATGATGTGTAAGAATGATTTGTTTTATATTAAATTCTATAGATAATAATGAGGATAGTGAAATTGGTTAAAGTTGAGTTAGGTTTGAATATGAATTGAATGCGAATGAATTATCTTGTAAACAAATATGCTCTAAAAAATGCGGAGAAAAAAAAAAGTGAAGTGAAAAGTGCTTAGAGTGAGATCTTCACTACAGTGGTTGAAGAGATGTAAGAATCAGATGGCTATTGCACGAGGGAGAGGAGAGGATTAAAGCAGCAAAAGAAAGTAATCGTAAATAAATAAACGAAAGAAATCGGAATGCCATTCTTGCTTCGATTTCGTTTAGAAAAATATATAAATAAATTATGCTTGTGAACAGCCGATTTTCTTAGTTTTTCATATACCTGCACGGCAAGCTGACCCCTGAGGCTCGTCAGATGTTCCGGCAGCGTTTTATCAATCTCATCCCCGTGCCCTAACGCACCACAATAGCCTTTGCCCCAAGTATACACCTACAATAATTTTTTTAAAAAAATATAATAATAATAAAAACACCATCATGATAGTAATCATACTCGAGTCGAGTCGACTCTCTACCATATCCAAAATTTACAGTACTTCAGTACAATAGTACATACATATCCATTTGAGTCGAGGGCCACCACATGTTCGTCCCCAGCAGATACCCGCACCACATGCACGCCTTTCTTCCTGAACCACATAACTGGCCGAGGCCGGAGCTCGTTGTGCTGTTCGCCGTGCCCAAGACAGAAATTTGTGCCCGACCCGAAAGAAAATAAGGTTCCATCGTTCGACACAGCCAAGCCGTAGCTGGGGCCCGCGGCTATCTGGACGATAGATTCTAAGAGCTCCACTCTTTGAGGGGTCGGTTGATCGTGTGTGGACTCCCCATGGCCCAGCTGGCCATGCGTGTTGAGCCCGCATGTGTAGACGTGGCCTTGGCTCGTGAGGAACATGGTGAAGCTCAGGCCTGAAGCTACCTGGAGAAAGGGAATTGTACCCGATCGGCCGAATTTTTTGGGCCAGTGGCATTTTCTCATGAGTTTATTCGGAAAAAAAAAAGTAAATAATATCGAATAATGGTTACCTGCTTGCAAGGAATACCCTTCAGAGCTTCAACAAGCTTTGGCCGGAATATAGGACGGCCCGTATCTCGATGGCCACAACAGAACGATGAATTATCTCCACATGTGAACACCTGTGTATGGCCAAATTACATAGTTCAAAATATCATGTTATTAGCATTTGGAATAACGTCCCCAACGCGTAGTTATGGACCCTAAAATAAAGCAAAACCGGATCACCTGACTAAAGAAAAATGCATAAATCGGGAGAGAAGAAAAAGGTAACTGTATAAATGAAAGCTCAACAATCGATTCAACTGGTCCAGCACTGATTATTCTTTGAAAAATTGTTTAAGAATCCATATGTAGCAAGGTTATTTGGTCTAAATACATATAAATATTAAATAGTCACTCTATTTGCAGATAAGCACAAGAGACTACAAACTACAAATCATCAGCATTCATTTGAAGCCGACCAATAACCTACAAATTTCCATAAGAACAGCATACTAGCAGTTATACAACATATTCGTATGAAGCCTCGAATTATATACATTACCGGGAAGTAGCTAAAATTAACGGCACAGGACAAAATGCAGCAAAGCAAGACAAACCTCTCCGGACTGCGTAACAAAGGCTGCATGGTTGTGGGAGGCCGAGATGTGAATCACATTTGTGCGGTAAGGAAAACTTATAGGCGTAAATTCCACACACTGTGTAGTTTCTGGACCGTGACCAAGGACACCACATAAGCTCGATCCACACGAGTACATTCCCGAGTCATTGATCAGTAGTGTGTGATATCTTCCACTCTTAATCTGCATCTGCAGATAAGAATTCTTGGGATTAATTACATCGATAGATTACAGCCATATATACAACTTAAGTTTTATAGTAAAACAAAAGCCTTGACTACTAATATATGTATAAGTGAGAGTGTCTTCGTTCAGTATCATTTCCTTATAAAGTTGCATGTTAAAATTCACTCTCAATCCCATAGGGAACCTAACAAAAGCTGTTTATTGAGCTACTATCAGCTATCAGAACATAGGAACTAACATAACTCATGACATCATAACTTTCAATCTGTTACTACTTTAGCTATACCAACAAGCACACTGTTAAAAAATCACTTGTGACCTAACCATATCTTAAGAGTGTGTCTGGTAAGTACCATAAACTAGCTTATAAGCTTCATCTATTCAAATAAGCTTTGTTTGGTAAAACGAGTTTTTAAAAAAAGCTCTGAGCTTATCTCACAAGCTTCATGGGTAGATTTTCAAGCTTATCAGCTAATTTTATTAAACAGTTTTATCATATAAGCTAGTGTTGTTTTTAAGCAATAAGTCATAATCTATAAACTCAAAATTCATTTATAAGCTATCAACTAATAGCTGCTTATCTACTAGGCTTAACAAACATAGCGTAAATCCCACACAGCGACACAAGTCATAAACTATCAGCAATAAGCTCGAAATTCACTTATGCGGTCAGCTTACTTATCAGCTAAGTTTACCAAACATAGCTAAATCACACACACCGACATAAATAACAAACATCAAACTGAAACAGCACAACTCATAATCAATCATGAAACAATACCTTGCCGGCAGAGGTTTCGACCATGTGAGAAGACTGTTCCAAGGATTGCAAGAACCTCAAAACCCGCTTCCAACTCCCATTACATCGATTGTAAAGTTCATTCCGGGCACCATCCCGGAGCGAAGAATAAATTGGGTGGGACCCGCAAAGCTTGAAGGCCGCGTAATCAACCAAAGATCGAAACTTTTGAGGAAACAGCTCGTGACCCTCCCAAAAGGTCCGTGAAGTCAGCTCCACACACGCTAAATCCACCGGGCTCAAGCGGCCCGAGGTCAAAATTTCGAGAACCAAGTGGATGGGCAGGTCGTCCATTGAGCTTGGCTTCGAGCGGTCGCCCATTTTTCAAAATGCAAATCGAGCTCAACAAACAGAACAACAAAGAACGGGCCCAGCTGTATGAAAATGAAAAATTGGGGGAAAATGAGATTGTGTGCGCGCGGGTGTCAAATTTTGAGGCGAAAACGAAGACGATTCAAGCAATTAATACCTAAAAAGTAAAAATCGGATGAAATCGAGTAGAGGAATTGGGGCTTGGACGAGAAATTAAGCGATGATTTGTGGAGTGAGTAGAAATAAATCATCAGAATCAGGAAACCGGAGCTAATCACTGACTTAAACACAGCAAGATTCAATTTTTCGAGTCTTGAATTCGATCAAAATAACGAGGCAAACAAAAATGGGGGCAAAGACAAAAGAGAACTCACAGGATCGAAATGGAAATGACCAGGAAAACGAGGATGATTAAATAATATGGAGTAGTTTTTATGAAAAAATTAAAGCTTCGTGAGTGATGACTTGGTAGAGTGGGTAAAGGGAAAGTCACAATGCAATCCAATTTATTATTGTTCAAATATTGGTGACAATCCAAATTTATTATAGTTCAAATATTGGTGTCAAACTGTATATTTATAAGGATTTTCTATACACAAACAAATAAGTTGAATGAAAATTTATAGGTTATCAATTCTTATATAAATAGTCATCTCATTTACTATAGAATTAGTAGAAAGAAAAGTCAACTCATAATTAATTGTACATCATATTTAGAAAGTTTTTAGATTTTTTAAAGAGTTAATTGCTAAATAAACCTTAACCTTTTTGCGTTTGGCAATTTTATCTCAATCTTTGATTAATTGCAATATAATCTTGACCTCAATTTACTTATTGCAAGTCGAACGTAAAAGTCGGTTGGACTTTCAAAAAATTGGTCGATTTGAAGGTGGTTCTTACAGATCAGAGCTCATATTTACCGGTTCACTCCAGATCTAGGAGGAGACTCACCACCGGTCGCTTACATTGAAGTGGAATTTTCGGCTTTGTGTGTGGATATACATTAAATACGTGGAAATTGTCAACTTACTACGTGGATGGCATAAATACAGTGTCAATGGAAGACTTAGACACAAAATCGATCCACAAGTCCCTAAAATCAATCACTCTGCACTCAAATTTGCAATAAGTAAATTGAGGTCGAGATTATATTGCAATTACCTAAAGATTGGGATAAGATTGCCAAACGGAAAATGGTTAAGGTTTATTTAGCAATTAACCCTTTTTAAATCATAAAATAAGGTAACATTAAATGTCCCTAAAATTATGAGTTTTTTGTTGAATTCGTTTTTGAAAATTTCGATAGAAATTGAAGTGAATATGAAATTCAATACATATTCTCATTTTATTTTTAATAAAATATGCATCCAAATTTACCTGTGGTTTTGAAGTGAAAATTTGAAATTTAAAATCTCTTCTCATTTTAGTTACAAGAAAATCAGGCTGCATTCAACACTTAGACCAATTTAAAAATTATTCTTTAAATAAAGAAATTTATAGATAATTGTTATATCTACTCAGTCGCATGATTATTTTCAATATAAAAAGAGAAAAATTACAAATTAGTGAATCATATCTTACTTAATTCAATATCTTAACATTAAGGAATAAATCCATAGTATTATCCATATCTCATATTATTATATCATTAAGAATATATTATAGTTATATTATCAAATCATAAAATATATTAAATCCATATTGTAAAAAAAATGAATTCATATAATTTTATAACAATTCTACTACACTATTTAACAGTATTCTTTTTTATTTTATAATAAAATAATAATTAAATATTATATGGTGAACAAGAATAAGTAAAACTGTTACTTTCTCTTACATCAAGGGATAAATTTATATGCTAAATTAATTTTTATTAGTATGAATGTTTTAGTGAGATAATATATTAATTATTTACAAACTAGCCCTAACATGCTCATATTTAATGTTGGCTAAAAAAAACTGGTTAAAAGATGTGGAAAAAAACTTATAATTGTTTTTTAGACTTAACGTTGATTAAAGAGGTAGAAAATAGACAATAACTCTATTACTTTTTAAACTTAAACGAACAAGACTGTGAAAATAACTCGTTTAATATCTCCGTCTCGTGTATCGCACGGGGTACATACTAGTTATATGTTATTATTATTTGATCTTGTGCATTTGCACAGATATAAAACACGTATTTTGTTTGTATTTATTAATTAGACCTGTACTTTTATCATATAAAAATTATTACTTTTTCTTAAATTATTTTTATCATTAAAAATTGATTGATATTTAAATTTTATTTTAACTAAGCAACATTTAAAATAGTTTATATATTTGAAGCATATATTAAGAAAATTAACATAAATAAAAAATATTATTGTTTTTTTTTTAATTTTTAGAAAAAAAAAAGTGTCAATCATTTTTCTTCCAACAATGCAACAAAATATAGCGGTTACAGCTTTGAATGTGCCAATCAACTTTAAGTTCCAAAGCCGTTACACATTTGAATATTTTGCTACCAAATTTAGAATTAATAAAGGCCTAAGGTGTGATTAAGTTAAGACTCGTCGGGGGTAGGAGACCCCGATAACATCATGGATCCAGCCATGTCCCCAAGCCGGAGGGACGTGTTGGAACACGTTGAAGTCCCAATGAGGAGAAAGCCGCCAAAGTAGCCATAAAGTCAGCTGCAAAATTAGCCTCATAGTGGACAACCCGAACTCACCAATCTCGTTGCATCATTTCCCGTATGGCCTGGACTAGTGACCCGTGAAGGCCATGTTGTCCGTCGGAACCAGAGACCATGTGCGTCACACACTTGCTATCAATCTCGTCAATAATTTGACAGTATCCCCGGTCCCACGCCAACTATAAGCCTTGAAAGAGACCCCACAACTCAACTCCCGTGATAGTACAAATGTCGATATTCATTAGGAAACCAGCAATCCAGCTACCCGACGCATCCCTAATAAGACCACTCGCGCACCCTATGCTCGTGCTGCTTTGAAAAGCGCCATCAGTATTCACTTTAACCCACCCCGAATCAGGCGGACACCAGTGAATCATGCGCATAGTATGAAAACCTGCCCTCACCCTCCGCAATTCAACGACTATGCGAGCATACGAATCAGCCAACCGGACTACTTCACTGTTTATATCTCACGACATTATACTCGATTTTACTCACTACTTCTCATGTCATGGTGCAAACTCGACAATTATAATTGGATTTCACTGGAACTGATAAATGTCTATACCTACGTCATTTGATGATGCAATAATATAATATAACTGGTTTTTAGTTCTTCGTACTATAAAGTAT